GTAAGGGCTGTGGGGGGACCTGGGAGGGGGTGGATGGAAGGCCAGGGACGACTCCCTAGAAAAACTGTGATCTGGCATTGGAAGGATAAATGGGAGTTTGGTGAGGTGAGAACCTTGGAGAGCAGGGGGAAAGGAGCAGCTTGTCCAAAGGCACAAAAAGATGTTTCCGTCAAGGAACGAGGAACTTGAATTCGTTTCCCATGAATGACATGTACATTGAGAGAGGAATTGTTATGAGGAAGGAGATTTAAATTCTTTACAGAGGCCTGATTTAAAAAAAAAAACACCACAAAACGGCATTTATAGGACAAGTTGAGAATTTGATTTTTGTATTGAAAAGAGCAGAGACCCGCTGTAGGTTTATAAACAGGGGGGGTGATATTTTCAAATTTGTATTTTAGGAATTTCATTCCTTTGTCCACAAAGTGAAAGTGTACAGGAGGGGACAATGCTGGAGGGAGGAGGGCAGTTAGGAAGTTGATGGTGGGAACCTTGAGAAAAACCAGAGAAAGCCCTGACAGGAGTGGAGAGAGGGTGATGCCAACAACACTAAGAAGGTAGAACAGGTTTAAGATTAGGTAATCAGTTGACTAAAGGGACAAGGTTGAGAAAAGACTCAGGGATTATTTTTAGTTTATTTTTTAATTTATAATATATTTTTATTGATTTCAGAGAGGAAGGGAGAGGGAGAGAGAGATAGAATCATCAATGATGAGAGAGAATCATTGATTGGCTGCCTCCTGCACATCCTCCACTGGGGATGGAGTCTGCAACCCAGGCACATCCAGACATGTGCTCTTGACTGCAATCATACCCAGGACCCTTCAGCCTGTAGGCCGAGGCTCTATCTACTGAGCCAAACCAGCTAGGGCTATTTTCAGGTTTCTGAGCAATCTGTAGTGATGGTTGTACTATTAATCAAGAGAGCAAACCCAGGAGATGTTCATTTGGGGATGGGAGAGACAAAATGAGGAGTTTAACTAGGCAGCTGCTGGGATTGAGGTGTCTATACACACCAGTGATGATATCGCTCAGCAGTTGTTACACATGCCTGCAAGTCACAGAGATGTGGACTGAAGAAGCACTGGAACTCTCAAAGAGTGTGTAGATAGAGTGTAAAAAAAAGAGAGAGAGAGCCACAGTTGGAACCCTAGGAGGCGACAAAACATAGTGAGTAAGCTAGACAAGAGAATACAAAGGCTGCAAAGAATACCGAGAAGGAGCAACCAGAGCTTAGAAAAATACCAGGAAAGAATGGAGTCGAAGAAACAAGAGAGGGGAGTATTTCGAGAAAAGGAAGTGATTAGCAAGACCCAGTGCAGCAGAGGCTAAGAAAAACAAGACCTGAAAAATATTCACAACATTTAGGGATTAAAAGGTCAGGAAGGACTTGGTACAAGCTGTTTTGGGAAAGTGAAGGGAGAAGAAGACACTCTGTCCAAGACTGATGAGCCATGGGCAGCTTAGGCAGAGCTAGTAATCAACAGTCTCCTTTCTCCAGAAGCTTAGCTACTGAGACTGCTGAGACCAGATAGTGGCCCAGGTCTAGATATGTGTTGACCTACCCAGTAATGAAGCATGAATATAATTTTCAATTATTTGTGATAATTAGGGGAAGGACATAATAACAGGCAGTCCAAAAGTGTAAAACAACAGAAATAATGTATCAGTCACCCAGATCTTCCACAGGCCTACCTACCATTTTTTAAAGCTTTCCCTCCAATCAATGGCCATGAAATCAAGAAAGGGGAACGAAAGAATTCTGGGAGTTAATGGGTTGAACCATAAAACCGAGTCAAAAGTAAGATAGAGAAGTCTCCATCTTTCATGGATAATGGGTGACTATATATGCTGAATGATAGACACATAGGCATCAGACAGCATGTGGCCCCAAATATGCAAATAGCATCAGTGTAGTCTCCCTGTTATTTTATTTAATTTTCTGTCAAATTTTTACAAAGACAGAAAAAGATCTTATATGGAAAAAGTGTGGGTGAATTTATCTTCTATATTTCAAAGTGTAGTCTATATCCATCTATTGGATGCTGGGCATCACAGAGGCATAGTTTTTGTGTACTGTATGGGTCAAAGAACTTGGCCTACCAAGGTCTATGGTTTAACAAATCCAGGCTGGTTGGCCAAGGAATTCTTAGTGAGAGAGGGAAATGAGTCTGGTAAGATTATAATTAATTAATATTAATTAATTCATTACTAGGCTCAGGCTTTGCCACTTATTTGCTTTTATTAGGTACTTTGACTTATTTATTTTCTTTACCCCAATGACTTAAAATAGCTGAATGGTATTTTATTGAGGGTAGGTCAGCATTACCATGCTGCTCTTATGTGAATATATTTTAATGATAGAGAAGTCAGCCTTTGGTGCTCACATCAATGTCTGGGAAATGAGCTATGCCTTACAGAGGAAAAGAAGGCCTTAGTATCAAATATTCATGTCTGTAATTTCAATCTTTAATTTTATAGTCATGACTTATTTAGTCTATACTTTTTTTAAACCTCTCAAAGCCATAAGTGAGTCCTAAGTATTGTTAGGACAATACTTATTATGTTATGATTATGCTATTTAGCTAGGACAGAATGATATATGGCAAGTCAGTTGGAGAGGAATCGTTTATGAATTCATTTATCCTTGGAAGTTCTGCTTGCGAGGCACACTGGGTCAAGGCTATCCTTGAGCTGAGAATCGGTGTTCTTTTTGAGATGGATTCCTAATTCAGCCCTGTGAACAAAACGTGGCAAGGGTCCCCATCTCTGGGTTTGCCCCAGAATCACCCAGGTTTGGCCTGGCCTGGAGCGCCCATCTCTTTGCAGATGCATAACACAGAGCTCACACACAGCCAGACCATTTTTGAAAGACACACAGTAAAGGGCCCTTCATCCACAGAGCTAGCTCCTTTTTATCTTTCCAAAAGGAAAGTCAGCTCTTATGGGGTAAATAAAGCTGAAAAAAAGAGACAGAAAAATGTAGTGAGGTTGCTGTTTCTTAAAAAACGTAAATGAGCCCTGACCGGTTTGGCTCAATGGATGGAGTGTCGGCCTGCGGACCGAAGTGCTCGATGTTTCTCTCTAATCGATGTTTCTAACTCTCTATTCCTCTCCCTTCCTCTCTGTAAAAAAAAATCAATAAAATATATTAAATAAATAAATAAATAAATTATAACTCAATTATTAAACATTTAAAAACACGTAAATGACGAAAGCCTTTTTTCTTTTCTTTCCTAGGTTCATTTGGCTGCTGATGTTACATTCTTGCAAGACAGACTAAAAGGCGACAGTGTGACAGAAATAGGAATAACATTCCTGAAAAAGCTAGATGAGAAAAAATACAGACGGAAAAAATGAAGAATAGCATGCAAAATGTCACAGGCTGATTAGTGGAGGAGCTAATATTAGCTAAACACAGACAGCCATTGAAATTTTGAATTGCTTAATAGAACGGGCTTTAAGAGGATTATAAATTAGCCCGAAATTTGAAATGCAGTACACTGGGATATAAAGCTGTTGTATTTTTCTTTTGCTCTTAAACCACACATTTTCAATCTCATGTCAAAGTTTCATATACAAATAGCTCCTTATAAGATAGCAAGCCTGAATTGCACATATTACTCAGTCCAGTCTATTCGTTTCATTATTTATGGTAACAGAAAAAAAATATCTATACAGCTGGTATATTTATCTCTTCTCATTGGAAAAAAATGAATGAAATGATAAAATATAGAGTCCACTATATATAGTTTCTAGATACTGTACATTGTATTCTCTATAGAAACAGTTCTATTTGTAGCAATCTTTCATATTTTTGAAAAATGATGGATGTGATTTTCTCATATATTGGCTTGGTTTATAGCTTAAGCTTCCTGAAACTACTCTTAATTTGTAATCAACAGAGCAAACCTATTTATTTGAATGCTAATTCGGAAACACTTAGAAATAGCATTTAATTATAATTCACTTAATATATTTAATTTTTAGGTAGCTGGCATTAACCAAATTCTTTCCATTTCTTGTGAAATATTACTGATGGCAAGGCCAGGAAATCACTAAAATGAGAGGTAAATAATGTTCTTTGAGAATACTTTCAAAGCTCATTCAGTTAGAATTTTTACTATCATTTTTATCCTCTAAAAACCTGACTAAGTATATTTTATCTGTGACCAGTACATATTTAAAATTCAAAATGTACTGGATTAAATAAGCAATAATCTTCACCAGACCTCAGCATGGAAGGGCGACCTATAGGGCAGTCCGGAATCTACTGGATTCTGCAGAGAAGTCAAATTAAAAGTAAAAGTTACAGCTAGTGTGGCACCATCAGTTAGAACTGCTGTAAGTGATATAGTACTGGTAGACCGCACCTGGAACTCAGGGGGCTGGAGAGAAGGGCTAGTTCTCTTTCTAGTGGCTTCAGCTAATGCTGACTAGTGGCTGATTTTCGGTAATGTGTATAATCTCTCTCTCTCTCTCTCTCTCTCTCTCTCTCTCTCTCTCTTTGTAAAATGAGAGGCTAGGATATGATAAATATCTAAAATATATTAATGAATAAATGACATCAATAACCACTGAAATTCCACTTTTTTGGATTTTAGAAGACTGTGGGGTTCATGTTGACCAACGTCACCCCAATCAATTTAATAAAATATTTTTTTTAAAAAGAAGACTATGGGGAAATTGTTCCTCACCTACCCGCTGTCTCTTCCGAAGGACAATGAGGTAGGTATTAAGGGTCAAATAGGGTCACTGGGGCAGCTGTCCCATCAACGGAAGGACCTTCAAACCAGCTCCACAGAAGACCAGGAGTAGAATCAGGAACCTTGATCAATGCAGAGATTTTTGCTATCTTGGAAAAGGCAAAGGGAAAGGACGGTTTGGGGCAGAGAGACAGTTTAGTTCTTTCAAGTGACATCACCAGATAGTTGCCAAGCTGTTCACTGAGGAGGTCTGTCTATCAAAGTTGCCAGGAATCAGAAATTCTTCCCTCAGCAGCTTCTTTCTCATATATTGGCTTGGTTCATAACTTACTGTCAAATCCCTCTGGCTCATCTATCAGTTATCAGGAGCCTGGATCTCTTCAGCAATTGGAATGGACTAGTATGAATAATTGGAAAGTTCCCTCTTCTCCCTGTTTATGACAGACCAAGAATATTCCTACAACTCCTTTACTTCCTTCTTTATTCCCTCTTCCATTTTTTAAACATTCAATTATGCTTCATGCAATGGATATTTGTTGGCTGCCCGTATCTTTCTGCCTTCTGATAGAATGACAGTTTCTGCTCAGGTGCCCACCATTTTATTAAGCAGCCCATCCACCTCAGGGGAGGTCATCACCTGGGCACAGTGGCTCATGCCCAGTTTTAAACCACCCTCTTCACAGCCAGGGAGGACAGGGCATTCCCCAGACCACAATCATTGCTCTGCAGAGGGAGGAGGACATGGATGACTGGACTGAGAGAAAGGCCTGCCTGTTACAGGAGCTGACAAATGTACTGTAGTCTAAGAGAGCTGAGCTGGGTTTCTTTATAGTAATGCGACCACGTTCATTGCGTTACAAATATGTGATGGTTAATTCGCAACACATTTGAGACTATCACAGAGAACTGTTCATTATTACAGTTTTACATAGCTGAATGCTCAACAAAATAGAATTTGGGTTTACAATAGCTCCTCTCCTCACAGGGAGGAAAGGGTTACAGAAGGGGGAAAATAGAAAGTTGCCGTTATAGTTTGCATGGACCCAGCACGCAAGTCCCAGAAAAGGGAGATTCCGCAGGGAGAAGGCATTTTCTATCAGTGCAGTGGTAGCTCTTTAAAAACACACAAAAAGAGCCTCATAGATTTCAGGTCCTTGCTTCAACTGTATCCAACGGAAACCTAAATTACATTAGGAGTCACTTGAGGATTCCGAAGTCAGAACAATCCTCTGATTCCTGGAGCCTCCCAGTGGCCTAAATCTTTCACGCCAGCAGACTGCATCTGGTGACTTGCTATTTCAGTGTGGTGTGTGAATCACTAGACTTAATGACTTAAAAGAGGAAATTCTAATTCCCAATGGTCTATACAGGCCAAACAATATAAGAGCCTGGAGATGCTGCTTTCTCAGCTTTGAATTCAATTAAGATTTTTATCAGGTACTAGGCACATTAATTATGTGGTATGTCACTTAATTTTTCACAGCAACCTTTGAAGCCTTAGGTAACAAAGAAAGCGGATTCGCAAACTACAGAGAAGCTAAATTTGCCAGTGACTTAAGTGCATGATGGTGAGGGGCTGCTGAGTGAAGGGAGCTGGGTGTCCAGCTTGGGAGGCTGGGTGAGGGCCCACAGGAGGCAGAGCCAGTGTAAGAAAGAAGCAAATAAGACTGGAATATTTTGGGTTTGAGGTGCCTTTGAAACACCTCAACAGCCCCAGGACCTCAGAAGAGAGGTCATCAGTGTATGGATAACAGTAAAGGCAATGGTGTAGATGGCAACATCTGGGGAGAGCGTGGACTTGAGAAAATATAAGGGGCGAAAAGAGAATCTGGGGGTGGGGGAACCACCATTCAAAAGGCAGCAAAGAAAGAAGAGCACAAATGAGGCCAAACTTTCCGTCAGGGATGTACATAGAGAAACTGGTAACACTGAAGCCAGGAGAGTTTCAAGGAGAATGCAGTGGCTAGGTTATTAGATGACGCAGAAAAGCCACGAGAGCGATGTGGCTTAATTTGATGAGGAGAAGGTCTTTGCTCCAGAGCAATTTCAGGGCAAGATGGAGGCCGTTGCTGGGTAGCAGGGTAGTAAGAAGCTGGGAAAATCCCTGGGCAAGTGGAATGAGGAAACAGAAGAAAATTAAGCAAGGCCAAACAGTTTGCAGCCAGCTTGTGACTTGTAACGCCTCAACTTCCCCAACCAAGGACACTTGATGACAAACTGTTAATACCTCTCCTCTCTAAGCAGAGAAGACATAGCTTAAATCACCCTGCCCTGGGAAAATAGAGAACAAAGACCCAATTAATGTCACTTGTGCCAGCTAATCCCAAGGACAGATGAAGTTGGGGCGGGGGGAAATAACAAAAACCCCAATTTAAGCCAAACAGACATAAGGTAAAAGTGAAATAGTAGAACAGAACAAAGAATAACAGAAAACTTCCCTATACATTTATTTTGATGCATCAGCATATTAAAAATGTACCCGGAAAGCTGATGACTATTCTACTGAAACCCTCCCCTAAGATTCTTGCCTGCAGGAAAAAAAAAAAAAAAAAGGATAAAAAGTCCTCAGGACAAAGACTCAAGGCGGGCTCACTCTCAGCGGTTCTCAACCTGTGGGTCGCGACCCCTCTGGGGGTCAAACGACCCTTTCACAGGGGTAGCCTAAGACCATCGGAAAACACATATATAATTGCATATTGTTTTGTGATTAATCATTATGCTTTAATTGTGTTCAATTTGTAACAATGAAATTGGGGGTCACCGCAACATGAGGAACTGTATTAAAGGGTCGCGGCATTAGGAAGGTTGAGAACCACTGCTCTAGCGCATGCCCATATCCCTTCCTGGTCGTGAGCCTTTTACTTCTTCCTAAATTCTAAGGGTCCCCAGGGGATTCTAAATTCTAAGGGTCCCCAGTCAGAGGAGCAGTGGGCAGCAGTAGCTTGACCTGGGCTCAGCCCCGATCCTATCTCCAAAGCCCCCTTTTTCTGTCTTCCCAGTGAGCTAAAGCAGCCTCGCCAGGCTCACTTCTATCACCGTGGCCTTCACTTCCCAGTGAGCTAACAGCAGCCCCGCCTTGGCTCATTCTTTCCTATAACATTTCTAGGGAGCCAAAGAGAGCACCGCCTAGCTCCCCCCTGTTGTTTCTTCTCCCCTCATTTCTTCCTTTGTGTAGCTGTCCCCAACATTAATAAACACACCCTCAAAGCCATCTGGACTCGTATTGTGAAATCTTTCCTACAGGAAGTCGAAACCCACACACCACAGGCCGGCTTAAGGCAGACCTGCTTGGGCAGGTCCGTGTCCAATAACAGCCTCTCTGTGGTGGATTGAAGCCAACAGGAGGTGAGATACTGTGTATAGAAGATTCTTGGAACTTGACTAAAAATGGAAACAGACATAGGATCCTCAGCCCAAAGTTAGACTGTCTCCTCTTTTTACTTTTTAAGAATGCAGGCATTTGAAAATATAGGAGAGAGGGAATGACTGATGAAGCAAAGTCTTGAGGAGGTGGAAGAGGACAGGATCCAGATAATAAGAGAACGATTTGACCTTGAACTGCATCAAGACTTCCCCTCCCCCTAAGAAAAGACTGATGAAGGTGAGCACGGTCATCACTGGGGATGGGATTGAAGGTGTTGGGGAAGACATTGTCGAGCTCATGACTGATGGCTCAGTCTTCTCTGTAAAGCAGGATTCAAGGTGTATGTCAAGAGGAGGTGGGCAAAGGCTGGATGCCATCCTTCTGCTATAGGCCACTGCTCATACTCTCAGCCAGCACCACGGAAGTAGAAAACACCCCCGCCTTCAGGTGGAACAATCCTACACAGGCCTAGGGAGAAAATACAGTTCACCTTTACTTCCCCTGTGCGCAAACAAACCAACACAAGGTATGGGGACGGGGGGCATGTAATGACATCCTGACTGGGTGTGCTTACCTGAGACCACATGGATCATAAGCAGGACTTCCTGTGTCTCCCAAGGAGATTGGGAGATTTGGTTGTGGGCTGTCTCGGAGAGCTCTTCCATGTAGGGAGTAGATTTGTGACTACAAAGTTGCCCCAGGTACTCCTACATCCTGAAACTGCTCCTGGGATACGGATAGAAATGACCACTAAATCACAAGCCCTGGCCAGGTAGCTCGGTTGGTTAAAATATCATCCCCTTTACACTGAGGAAAATCACAGAAAGCCACACAACCGGACTGCCAAGACCTGTAAGGGGATTTCCTCCAAAAGGTGAAAGAAATGGCATTGCTCCCCTTGGGGAAGGCTTCTGCAAGGGTTTTCAGGGAATCCTGTAAAAGCTGATGAATGCCGCTATTGAAAACACACCCCAGGAAAAGCAGTACAAAAGCTGAAGCCAATACGTAACAGTATCCACAGACATAATAATCATTTCTGTAGAGACACTTAAAAAAACGACAGAAAGAAGAAAATTCCTGCCCCACTGTTAGCAGTTCCTAAAACCTGTAACCTGGGAGTATCTTTTGGCTGCCTAGGACATTTCATACAGACTGGAAGAGATCCAGATCTAAACAATGTACCCTTCAACCCTCTTGAGAGGTGAAAAATTGCCCTTTCACACTTTTCTGAACACCTGCTGGGTGGAGTCCCTCATAAAGATGTCAAATCAAAATGAATGAATGAGGGAGAAAGAGCCCCAAAACTAGTGCTTGAGTTTAGACAGCTCAAGGGGCAACTCTTTGCCAAGAATTCAACTTCTCCTCCAGGCCCAATGGTTGATTAACATGATATTTCTGTGCATGAG